GTTACTTCACATGATGAACGTGCGTTCTAGTCTAGTAATAATAATTTATTATTTATATTGCGCAAATATCCATATATATATAATCAAATGTCTATTGAACATAGCGCAACGAATTTTAGGTGTAACTTTACCAAATTTTTAGTGAAGAAAGCCAAGAAAATACTGATTTCGAAAATCTTCGTTTGATGGGTGTTCTGTTTAAACATGTCCGGCATTGGCTGACTAAAGAAATATATATATAGGTATCCCGTAAAAAAATCAAAATACGTTTATAGTTTACCTCACCGTTTGTCTACATATCTCAATTTGAATCATCATAGGTACGGTAAAAAAACGTGCGCAGAAAATTTCTCTTCACGGTGAAAAAAACGCACACGTTTTTTTCACCGTGCCTATGAAGATTTGAATTGCGATATCTAGACAAACGTTGAGGTAAACTATAAACATATTTTGATCTTTTTATGAAGGTACCTATATATTTCTTTAGTCAGCCAATACTGAAAATGTTTAAACTGAACACCCATCAAATGAACATTTTCGAAATCAGCATTTTCCTGGTTATCTTCACTGAAAATTTGGTAAAAAATCCAAAAATTCATTGCGCAATGTCCAATAGACAAAACCTTAACGGCAATCGTTCACATGTAATAAACATGAATTTCATCAGAAAACTATTTTCTTACAGATACAACAATATATTCTGTCGGACTGGCATCACGGACCAATTGCCGTATGGTGATGACTGGTACCACCTACCCGGAAATTTTACATTTGTTTCATGCGGGGATTATGGCTGCTGGGCGATAAAACCGGACAATTCGATCGCTTTTCGTACTGGAGTGACTATTACTTACCCTCAAGGAACAAACTGGCTTGATGTTGATGGCAAGCATTTCGTGCAACTCGAGGCTGGCTACCAAGGTATGGTGTATGCTGTGACGTCGGACAATGTGCTATATTATAGAAGTGGTGTATGTGCCCTAAACCCGACTGGCTCCCAATGGAGACGAGTCAAAAATCTACGGGTTAAACATGTAACCGTTGGTGACAACAGTCTGTTTGTGATCGCTAAAAATGGAACGATATTCACCTCTACCTAAGAAAAGCCATGTTAGAGAAGGCAATTTTTGCCGCAACTTGCGAAATGCCCAAAATCTTGATATTTTCCCACGTACAGTACAAGAACTTGTGGTCGATTCATGCAGCTAGACTCTGTAGCATTGTAGGTGTACTTCAGGGGACTAAATTAGAACCTGTCCTGTTTCTGTTAATGATCAATGACTTGGAACTGAGATCTGCTAAATAAATATATAAGTCAGTGGAAATATGTTGATGACGGTACAATTTCTGAGTCACGTTCTATAAACCAGCTTTCAACACTTCAATCCGAACTGGATGTAATCCATCCTTGGGCAACGCAAAATCACTGATATGGAACTTAATGGCCGAAAGAAGTGTAAGCAAATGATAATCAGCTTTCTCCAAAATCAACCTGATGTTCCTCGATTGTGTATCAATGAGCTACCACTTGATCTGGTCGATTTGTTTAATTTAAAGCTCTGGGCCTAACATTGAACAAGAAACTGAAATGGGAAGAGAATGTGGAAATTAAACCAAGTTCAAATACAAGCACTGTACAGCCATGTTAATACCGATATTAATAATAATATTTAATTTATACTGTCACAGTTAACGGCCACATCAGCATTATTTGCTGCTTTAATCTATCGTGATTAAACAATTAAATGATTTAAACATACGAGGCTCTGCCTAACAGCACGGAGCTAGTTAAATGCGATTGGCTGATTAGACTGATGTTAAATTAAATAATATTCGTTTGTGTTTGATTGGCTAGTTGACAATAGTCATCAATTAATTAAGCACCTTTTCAACTAAATCTAAGTAAATATAATAAGTAAATATAAATTATTAAATTCGTCCTTTATTACAATAGAGCCATAGTTACATAGCGCTATGCAGTCGAGTCCTCTGTGTATAAGAAAAAAATCATCAATTGTAACTTAAAATGCTTCTCAGGCAGATAAAAGCAAACATTTCACCGATTTTTGGATTGTATATTTTGTTTTTGTTTAACGGAGAGATCATTACAACAGCACAAGCAGGTAAATTTATAATATACAATGAACTCTATAATGCAAAATAAAATATTAAATAAGATGCGATGCATGTACTACCCTTCGGGAGAACTGCTTACAGTCGTATATTGAAGACTGTCTTTCACTCATGTCGCGAAATTCATCTGTCGTTTTGCAGTATATACGTATAAAGCAATGTACACTATAAAGATTTATTGTCCGTTTTATGCGCATTTATTAACCTACATTTATTACAATTACAAAATTAAGAAAGACGGTTACAGACAAAGAAACTTTCCATGACAAATTTTCGTATGACATGTTATTTCTTTGTCAACTTTTTTTACGACAAGTGAATGCGACAATAAAGGAAATTTTCAAAATTTTTATTAAATTATAGTGTTTTCTGCAGGGCAGCTGTGTTAGATTACAGTGAACTATAAATATTTAATGAAACATGATGGCCATTATGATAGTCATGCTATTCTAACCAGGACCTTGTACTGTTGTTATACACACGTAAAAAAGGGCAAGTTGTCACAGATCTGCAAACAAGTTGAAACAAAGTTGTTGTCAAGCTGAAATCAAGATGTGTTCGCTCTGCTTGAACCGTTCATGTGTTCGCAACAGACTTGCTACAGGTTGTTTCCAACAGTCTGTTGTATGTTCGTAACAACTGAGTCGCTAGACAAGCTTGTTGTCATCAACTTGTCAGCAATTTGTATCAGACTGGTTGGAACAACTTGTTGCGAGTCTGCTGGCCTCATTAACCTTGTTACAAGAAGATAGCAACCTGTTCCAGACTTGCCAACAACTGAGAACAAGCAGTGCGAACACATCTTGTTGACAGGCTGTGAGATATTTTTCACGTGTAACACATACTGGGGCGCGGAGCCTTGTCCCCCCTATCAGGCCCCTATATACCATGTTGCTCCCCTCGTACATGCAGTGAAGCCCCCATTTGTATAAAATGTAAGCAAAAAAGGAAGAATAACTTATAATTAAGAAGAGTGTTTAAAATATTCTCATAAGGTAAAATCTTTGTTTTGCATGCGGACGAAATATAGCATTTAAGGTTGTCCTCGAAAAATGCAGTAAATCACATCCCTGGCCTTTACTTTTTGTTTTTTAGATGATGGCATGTGCAATGTTGTTCGTGTCATTGAATTCGAAGGTACAATGCAGTTAAGAGATTTTATAGCTATCGTTAACTGTTTTGTGTTGCAGCAACTGTCCAGTCACGCGGCGTATACGTGATAAAAACCGACAGAGATTTTATAACAAACGATGATGTGAACGTAACAGAACGGTGAACATGCATATTCGGCCATCTCAAATAATGGTAATGTTGGGATAGCAGCATTGCAGACCGCAGAGGAGAGTGGGCAGTAAGGCTCCCTCATGCACCAATGAGGCTAAACATTTCAAGGATATGTGTTTAATTATTGCCTTAGTTTTACGTGCAACATAAATAATTCAATAACTATGAATGATATTCTCAGTAAAAGAAAAAAATATGATATGCCGAAACTAATTCATTAAATTATTATTATAACTTTATAATTTAGGCACACGACTTAAAAGCGGCGAGATTGAGACGTATTGTAACATGGGCAAGGTGAAATGCTTCTTTCGATGTTTAAATACTAATGGATGTCAATCTTTCGCCGTCGGACTGAACACAAATTGCACCGGAACATTTTGTCTTCTCTATTCATTATCAGAGATAAATATGTTGAGTTACTTTTTGAAAGACAGTAACTCAACATATTATTTCATGGTAGGATATTTTGATAAAATTATTTATGGTACCATAAATAAATTTAGTAAGTAGGTGGTATAGTAACCGGTATACTACTTAGTAGGTGGGTCGGTACGTATAGTTAGTAGGAGGTTGATGGGTAGGTATTTAGGTATTAGTTGGTAGATAGGTGGTTGGTAGTAGGCATAGGTAGGTAGGTTTGTAGGTATGTGGTCGGTGGTGTAATGATTATGTTAATTTTATATTATTGTAATTTTGTAATTGCCTGCATGCCTGGCAATACGCCTGGTAGCCTGACTGCCTGAGACTATAAAGAAGCATGTTGTTTTGTTCAGCGATGACACAATTTAGTATTGCTGTAGCTTGTTAGTTTTGCTTTATTAAACACCTTTCATATTTCTTGGTCATGTCTCTTGATCACAACATGGTGTCAGGAGTAATTTAAACAATAAAGTTGTCGTTAAGTTCCGCATTTGGTTATATATAAGCTCTAAAGGCCTGAAAGGTGAAGCGAAATGGACAAATTTGAGCCGCCATCTTGTTTAGGGTTCGAAGGCAACCTTAGTGAAAATTGGCAGAAGTGGCGCCAAGAACTAGAACTCTATCTTACTGCTACTGAGAAGGATGGAAAATCTGACAAAATAAAGACATCAATACTTCTCACATGCGTCGGAAAGCAAGGTAGAGAAATTTATAATACGTTTCAGTTCGTCGAAGGAGAGGAAATGAAATTCAAAGTCGTTGTACAAATGTTTCAAGATTACTGTAGTCCAAGAAAGAATATTACATTTATGCGCCACAAATTCTTTACATGTAAGCAGAGAGATGGTCAATCTTTTGATGAGTTCGTTACTGAGCTAAAAAAGCGTAGTGCTGAGTGTGAGTTTGAAGCACTTCGTGAAAGCCTCATTCGTGACATTATAATATGTGGAATTAATGACAACCGTCTTCGTGAACGTCTTCTTAGAGAGCCAGAATTAACACTGCTGAAAACTATACAAATTGGACATGCTGCTGAGGAGACGAAGAGACATGTAAAAGAGCTCCAGAAAGAAGTCGATGGCAAGAATTCAGTCGACGCCGTTCGTAGAAAGAAGTTAGCAAGAGACGAAAAGAAAAACTCTGGCAAAGAATCAGTTGGTTACGATAAGTCCCTAATTAAAAATTGTAAGTTTTGCTCATATTCTCATAAACGGGGAAACTGTATTGCCTATGGAAAAAAATGCATGAAATGCTCTAAGTTTAATCATTTTGCAAGGTGCTGTCCAGAAAAAAACAAGTCAGTCAAAAACGTTAATTGTGACTCCAGTGATTCTGATGATGCACCCGATGACACATTTTTTGTAGGAAGTGTTAATGTAGACACTACTGAGACACAGACTAACCCTGTTATAAGTGCAGAAGAAAGGAACTCAACCACTAAGACAAATGAGTCAAATGAATATACAATTTTTACTGTTGGTTCCGAGTCTGAGATTGAGTCTGAGTGGACAGTTGACATGGACACTAATGGTAGTAATGTCAGATACAAGTTAGATACTGGTGCCCAAGTTAATGTCTTACCAAAATCTCAGTATAATAGGTTGATACGAAAGCCATAGTTAAAGAATACGAAAGTGAAGTTAACTGCATATAATGGAACTAACATTCCTGTTGTTGGAAAGTGTATTGTTCGAGTTGCCCATAAAAAGACTCGTGATGTACCTGTTCTGTTTATTGTCGCAGAAACGAGTTCACCACCAATATTGGGTCTTTCCACATGTGAGAACTTAAACTTAGTTAAACGTGTGATGGTAGTAAAACCAAAGGAAGAACAATTGCCCAGCTTTATCTCTGAATTTGAATGTTGCTTTGGAGAACTTGGTACTCTGCCCAAAGTTCACAAGATAGTTATTGACCCTAGTGTTCCGCCAGTTATTCACCCTCCACGACGTGTTCCTATAACCATCCAACCTAAACTTAAAGAAGAACTCGACAGAATGGAGAAACTCGGGGTTATATCCAAAGTCACTGAGCCGACAGATTGGGTTTCAAGTCTAGTAGTTGTTGAAAAGCCAGATGGAAGTATTCGTATTTGCCTTGATCCGAAGGATCTGAACCAAGCCATCAAAAGATCTCATGTACAACTACCTACCGCAGAGGATATTATCTCAAAGATGACTGGTGCTCGGTATTTTTCAAAACTGGACGCTTCTTCAGGGTATTGGCAAACCAAGCTTGATGAGGAAAGCTCGAAGTTGTTGTGCTTCAACAGCCCGTTTGGACGTTATAAGTTTAATAGATTACCTTTTGGTGTCTCAAATGCATCCGAAATTTTTCAGTTGGATATCGCAGAAATTATTGAAGGTATCGAAGGAGCCGCAAACGCTCAAGATGATATCATAGTTTGGGGTGACACAAAAGAAGTCCACGATCAACGTCTACACGAGGTGTTGTCTAGAATTAAAGACTCTGGTCTCAAGCTGAACCGGAAAAAATGTCAATTTTGTGTTACTCAAATCACATTTCTCGGACA